TAGCTCAACTGCGGGGATATCAAAGTAGAGAGCATTTAAGAAGAGATGACAAAAGTCTACTCCCAATAGATTAGCAGTCTTTTCTTCAGTTATCCACACTTTGTGGTTAGATGGATACTTTCCATCAGTGTCGAAACAAGATTGAATAGATGTATGGCCAAACATACGTATATCAGATCCATTATAAGTCTTTGCTTTAATTTTGGATCGGTATATTGTCATTTTTTGACCTAATTTTTCCAATTCCTGATACGTTGGGTAGCTTATGATACTACAAGTTGATCCTGGGTCAACCATGACTTCAATTTCAAGTCCATTATTATTATTTTTGTCTCCGGTGGCAAAATGATATAAGCTAAGATATATCCTTGATTTAGGATTACTATCATCGCTTGGTTTCAGAGACTTTAATAGTTTAAAGGAAAGAAATCAGTGATCGCATCACAGTAATTGACTTCTTCCTCAACCCAGTGGGTAGGACTGTACTTGATTCGATCTAAAATTTGGTGATTGAGATCGCGTTGAGTCTCGACTGTTATTGCTATTATAGCTTCCAGTGTTATATGGTCGACCTCTAGGGTTACTATTGAATTGCCTATTTTCTTGGTCGTAGAACTGTTTAGCAACTTGTTCATTTTCTCTGAATTTGTTTTCTCTGGGATACCTATTATCATAGGTTTGGGGCATTTTGAAAGACGATTGTGCATTAGCCTTTTGGAAATTGTTTCCGTGGTTGTACCACATTGTTACTGTGGTTATAATTATGGCGAATGCCATAGTTATTTTGGCTAGGATTTGAATTGTTAGTAGTTCTGTTTTGGTTATCCCAAAACCGGTTGCTTGGGTTAGGGTTACTCTGGTTAGGGAAATTATTTGGTCTTCAATTTCGTTTATCATCGGTTTCAAATGAAACTCTTCGTTCATTTTTTGATGTGAGCTCTTTTCGCAACTTATTTACTTCGTCCTGAGCTTGCTTTTTCGAATATCTAGATATAGAATGTCCCTTCCTTCTGCAATATTCGCATAATCGTGTACTGTTAGGTCTTCCCTTGATGTCAGGGTGACGTCGTTGAAATGAATTCTGATCATTGATTGCACTAACTTCTTGATTCTTGATTTTATCCGTTGTTGACTTTTATCCATTGTTGACTTATTAGCAAGATCAGTAGCAACAATGAATGTTAGATCCTTAGTGATTACATGATTTGTGAATTGATCCCAATTCGAGTTTGGATGCTCTATCATGTATTCACGAGCTTTTTGTTTAAGGGCTAGAGGTCTTAGTCCCTTAATTGAGAAATCAATATACTTTTGACTACTTTGTCTGGTCTGTATATTCCTTTCAGCATTTTAAGCGGCTTCATCAGCGTGGACTGTTTCATCAATACTTTCGGGCCATCCTCTATCTACAGAAGATTTAATTCTGTGGAAGTAACTTTTTATTAATTCGCCATCTTGGCGAGCTGCATTTTCAGCATCAATTCTATGTTTGAACTGATCTCGTTGGTCAGTGAATCTGTTTAGGAAGAGATTCTTGAGTTGTGCCCATGTGGTAGCATTGGTTACATTATCATTAAACCATTCAAGAGATGAATCAGTTAACAATGATCCGAATAGGGATCGTTGTCTGCTATCATAGCTGCGTCGCGCATCATTATCAGCAGGTCTTTGTCCTAATGAGAAAAGAATTTTGTTTTCAACTGAATTCCAAAATGTTGTAGCATTTTGGTTCGGATCGTTTCCCGAAAATGTCATTAAAGACAAGTTGGGATGGGATATTGGGGTATCAGCCATATTATATTCAGCTTAAAATTAAAAAAAGAAAGATAGAAAAGTTTATAGATTTGCTTAGAAAACTTAAATTTCCGATTTGGAAATTTATTACTTCACTTTATTTGTAAGAGAAATTTCAACAATCCTCCAGTTTGAGAATTGGATTCTTTGCTTTTTTATCTCTTTTTGAGACTTAAGCAATTTTTGCGAATTTTTAGAAGGTGTGCCTCACTGGTCGCACCAATTTATTACGCTAGCAAAACTATATACGTCGGACAAAACGCTTGCTAGGAATAAATGGTCCTTTCTACTTTCTGTCTTAGAAAGTAAATCTAAAATTCGCTGAGAAATATTTTATTGGAAAGGAAGTTAGTATGAATTTACAGCAAGTTGCCTTTTGACTCAATATCTATTTTAACGGTGAGATTAGGGATTTTTTTACTGAGAATGGATATTATTTTAAAGAATGGTTGGGGTGGTTGAAGAGAGGAGTGGTGTTGGCGTTAGAAGAGATATTGTTGGGAATGAATTCCCGTAGTTTTGAGCTTCTATTTATACTCAGATGGGAAATCGTACCACTTTTCGTATCAAATGAGAAGTTAATTCTTAACCTCGTATTCTCTATTCGTATTTTCGTATTTTACGAGAAGAATGTTTCGAATGCTCGTATTTTACGAGAGGAATCGTTATTATTCGCATTGAACGAGAATAGTCGTTTCAATTCTCAATGCTTAAAACGTTATACGAATTATTCCAATAGCATTTCACTTCCTTTTGCAAGGGAATAAAAACATATTTATTTTGTGGTGGCGGCGGCGGCGTCACACTTTGTGAGCTCAAAAAAATAATTCTTGTTTCTGTTTCTATTTGAAATCAGAACACATTTTGATCACTAGGGCAGTAATTATCTACTAAATTAGATTTTTTAAAATTTTGTTGATGGGAAAACAACTGACTAATAGTTTATAGTGCAAAAAACTTTTTTTAAAGTTACCAAAAGTTTGTGATCTCTATCCAAAATGGCCAAACGGATGCTTCATTCTTAGGCTTTCAAAATTATTGTTCCGCAAAGAAAAAGCGGAATATTTGAGCTTTAGTCGTTTTTCCCACTTGAATCAATTTTCACATTAAAGGTTAGCTTTTTGAGGGAGTTTTTTTATACCATCTGAAATATTTTGTTGACAGGAGGTCAAATGGATAAAAAGTCGTTTGTGATTATTTCAATTTAAGTTATGGGAGTTTAAATTTGCTAGCGTGATCACTTTAGAATAATCATCTTGCAATATATTGCATTCTTATAACAACATAACTGACGGATTAAATTGTTCCGAAATGAATTGAGGCAAGTAATTCGGTCTTATTGTTAAAATATAAGACGCTAAATTAATTTCTTTTTTCTTATATAGCGTTTGGGGGGTTTAAAAATAAAACAAAAAAACCTGCCCTGACGTACAAACGTTTTGGTTTATTTGTTATAATTATTGCTTAAGCGCTCAAAAATAGAAACAAATTTAAATCTTAATTTTTTCTTAAATAAATTATATCTCAATTGTTTTATCAAAAACATATCAAAACATCATTAACAAATTAAAGAGCTGATCGCCGTCAAAACCATCAAGGTCCGGATTGGTCTTGAGCAATTTTTTTTAGCTCCAACTTTGAAGAAAATGACGGAATATTAATGGTTTCGATGCGCTGTTTTATTCAGACCAAATCCGATCATTTAAATAAGCGCTTTCAAAGGATTTATAAACTGTTTGAAGGGTACTGATATCGTAAGCTCAAAACTTTTATAAAATTTATTTAAGAGCACAGCTGTTTTATGAAATTTGGTTTAAAAATACCATTATTCTACAAATGTTTGTTATGGAAAAAAAGAAAATTCAAATATTTTGTCCTTTTTTAAGAAAGCTTTATCAAAATAATTAATCAAGTATGACTTGAGATACCTGAAATCACCACCTAAACTTTCATAGTTTCCTGATGCAACTATGAACTGAAGAACCTTGTTTTGAATCAAGATCAATATGGCTTAGATAGTTTTGTAAAAGTTCTTTTTCATATCAATTTGAATGATTAATTTTTTTTTGATTCTGTTCTAATCGGATAATAGAAAAAACTACTGCACTTTTGTTGAAAACGTGTCATGTTTTTGAGTAAAAAAGTATACTACAGCTGATATAGATTTAACGAACTATTTGTGCTTGCTTTGGGTTTTCTGGAACTTCTGGGGTTAAAAAACTCGTCGCTTCTCGAGTACAGTTCACTCATTTACCTTCTGCATGGCAACTTTTCCGATAAGTCAATCCGTAGAAATCTGAACAGCTCATAGCGGATTCCGCAACATTGCTATTTTTTTTAAATCTTCTCTGCTGTTTTGGATTCCACGGACAAATAGCTAAAACACTGTATTGCTCAAAATCGTCAAAAAACAGCGAACTTTGCGGAATCCGCAAAAAAATGTGTGGAATCCGAACCAACTTGTGGAATCCATGAACAAATAATAGTATATGTGTTTAGTAAATTTAAGCTGTCGCAGAATCCGTAAATGTAAGTCGATTGCGGAAATTGTAAGCCGGTTCCGCAAATTGTGAGCGGAATCCGCATATTGTAAGTGGAATCCGCATAAATTTGCGGAATCCACTGACATTTGCGGAATCCTGAAAAATTACCTACATTCGTTCACTGCGGAATCCGCAACAAAATCAATGTGCCGACAAAGTTTACGTTACAGTTATTTGTACGCGGAATCCACTGAAACTTTGTAAGTGGAATCCACTTACATTTTGGAACATGTTTAAAGACTTGTCTCTGGAATCCAGGAACATACAGACACAAAATTGTGCGCCTATCCAGTGCACAGTTTGCGCTCGTAATGTTTGTGAAGGCTGGAGAGGGAATATGATGGCAAACAGACAAGTGCCTGTTGCAGGGGCGGAGCTAAGATTTTCTCAAAGGGTGGATTTTCAAAAACAATAACCGGAAATTACGGCCAAACCTCCTCTTAAGTGCTCGGCCAAACCTTAAAAAGACCGTATTTAGACAGGCAACATTCAAAAAAAACTGTGGTTAAAATTAAGTTTTCGAGGTCGTGAAATAATATCAAAGGGAGATCCTTTGGGTGGCCAGGGAGTCAACCCCCTCTAAATTCGCCCGTTACATGTATTGAAGCAAAGCAGCTAATTTCAAAACAAGCAGTGATGTGAGTTGCTTATTATGTCCTGTAGCACCATCTTCACTTGTGGTAACGAGGTTGGAGGAGGAGGAGGAGGCGGAGGGGTTGGACCAACCGAGCATGAGAGGGTAGCAGGAAGTATTGCTGGGAATGGACAGGGGGTGTTACCGGTGGAGAGAGTGATGCAGACTTGGACTGAGGAGTGGGGCTACCCCCTCATCACTGTTGAGGTCAGTACTTCTGACACTGAAGCATGCTTGGTAAAGCTCGATGCTCGAATAAAGGTTACGAGCTGTTCAGATTTCTACGGATTGACAGCTTAAGTACACCAAATAAGTAATCAGACATAAATTATTGCATCAGATATAAATTATTGTGTTAAATTATTATTGCACCCACGTTCCGTTGCAGTTTTAATTAGGAGAAATCCTGCCGCCCCTTGTGAATTTACAGGCAAGACTCCCAAAAAGAAGCTCCGGGATCATAAAATCCTGATGAAATTGTCAGATTCCTTAGGTTTGACAAAAATGTCCAGGTTAGTCATAATTATGTGTTTAAATATATTATAATTTGCTTTGCTTTAGGTGGATTATCACTGCACGTGTATTACGGTGGGACAGAGTCGCTTTGTAACTGACGGAGGGGGTGACCGCACCTCCTTGAACCCGAAGAGGTCAGTGGGAGTGGTTTGGAGTGTGCAGCTGCTGTTCCGCACCAGTCGAGGACACAGAGTCTCCAAAATGATACACAGTCACACCCAGGTCTCCTTAAACTAAACCAAACTATCTGAAACTAATACTAAATGAACCAAATTCACCCCTAAACTAACCAAGTGAACAATCATCATCCGTAAAAGTAAACGTAACAAAACTAAAAAGTAGGTTGAGATGCATAATGCTGAATTCTGGTTTGCTTAAAGAAATTGCTTTCAACCATAAGTAAACGATTTCCTCCCTAAATTGGACTAGGATGAGGTTGCTCATTTGGTCTGAGCTACCACCGTAAACTATTTTGTCAACAATTTTGTCTTTTGTAACCATTCGATTGCAACGCTCAAGTTTTGGTTAAAAACGGAAAGATTTTAAGATTTTGAAGAACCCAGATTCTTCCCGGGTCAAGTTGCTCACATTAAGTTTAGACGATCTCGACCAATATTTGGTATGTTTCAAACGCGCTCGACCGTACCGAATATGCTCGACCTAAGCAAGTTATGTTTTGACCGTGCTCGACCAAAAAAAAATGTGCCCGACTGTGTTTGACCCAAGCAAGATATGTTTCAACCGTGCTCGACCAAATTCGGGTATGTTTCAACTTTCAAACAACATGTGTTCTCGAAATTAAAATGTTGTAATTTATGCTTTTCGGGCAACATCTTACGATGCTTTTTTTATTAGAATGAAATAATCAGAGTTAATTGCAATTTAAATGCACTGTAGAGATGAACTCTTTGTGGGCCATTTGTTTCTCATTTTTTATACTGGTTTGCAATTTGAGTCAAAAACATTCAAATCATGTTGATATTTGAAAGAAAATTTTCGCTTTGATTCTGAGTTACCTCGGGACAATCAGTAAGTTTTGATTGTGCTCAAGGTAAATTTTTGACCTTGCTCTCGAAATATTTCTACCGTGCTCGAAGTATGTTTCGAATTTGTTCTTTTTGTTTTTCACGCAAAATCAGGTACCACAAACAATCATCGGACTGGGTTTAGGGGAGTATATCATATTAAAGGCCTCGCAGTCGTGATTCGAACCACATTAAAAAACATTTAAAAAACTTTCCAAACGTCGACAAAAACCCGGTTTGAAATTTCTGATTTATCGTCTTAGTTTGAGCGAACAAACCGAGTCTTATTTTCATTAATTAAAAGCTTACAATAGCCTAATTTAAAACGCAATAACTGAGTTTTGTTTGAGTAAATTTAGTTTAACGCCTTTTTGGAATCAAAACTTTCAAACATTCAAAAAACTGCAAAACTTGAAAAAAATTTTAAATTGTTTTTGATTTTTTTTCGTTTTTCTTGTAATTTCTCGGCAAAAATTAGTTTTCAATTTGCTTACTTTATTATGACTGTCAATTATACCAAATCCCTAATTTTTTTGGGTTCAGCTCTTTTTATCACTCTACGCCGAAAAAACGACAATAATTTGAAAAAACTTTTTGTATTGTTTTAAGACTATGTTCGGAACATTTTGTGCTACTTGCACAGTAACCGGCTATCCTTGTTTGAGTCTTGTTTTTGGCTGGTAGAAAATCACAACTGTTGCATTGTTTTCTACTTGACTGCTTCACAAGTTTTTTTTCATTTGGGTCATAATTAAGGTACCCTTAACGTAACACTTGCCCCATACTTACTCCCCCTTTTCCGAGACTCATTTAAGCTTCTCAAACTTACGTGTGCGTTATTTTGGACGGCGGAGCATAAAAATATGGGCAAACAAAAGGGGGGAAGGAAGGGTTAGTGTGGGAAGCGTAAATCTGAGGGGGGTGACAGGTGTGTGGGGAGTCGGGAAAGTGTGGGGGCGGGGCAAGTATAGCAGTAAGTGTTGAGATGGGAGTGAGACTGGTTGGGTAGGTCTGGGAAAGTCGGGAGGGACAAGTTTGAGGGGTAAAAATGGGGTGTTCAAATTGGGTGTGAAATAAGAAGAGATTTGTAGTAAGTGTGGGGAATCATTTTGCCAAAAATTAAACGAATGTGAACACGTATCGAAGTTGAGAAAGGTTCTAGTAATGCAGAAAAACTTATACAGTTTAGCATTCATTTTATTTCATGATAATTTGCATTTCTATGGATTATAATCGATTTAAGTTCATCAAGAATGATTTTTGAATACGAAAATTGATTAGAATCGATCATTATCGGCGGAACGTCAATGGCGGTAGCATCAGTAGTTTCGTTAAATGGACAAAAAAGACAAAAAATGGGAAAGTTCAGTTATTCTTCTGATGATTGCGAAAAAAATTGGACTTGACTGAACTCCGGTAAAAATGGGGTAAAAAGGGAAAAAAGCCCGATTTTCTGTTCATTTCAAGGATGGTTTTGAAGGCAAAAATATATATTTATGTGTGTGTGTGTGTCCATTTTTCATGCGTTGTTTCCAGTCCAATCCGACCAACGTATGGATAATTTTGAGCGGATTGATGGAAGGAACCTCTACCCGGGCATATTTTTGGTGAGGACTATTTTTGTAGTAACTTGACTCAAATCCGTTTTTATTAAAAAAGCTTGTTCATGTCATTTGAAAAAATATTAGTTTCATTTGTCTATCTCATTTTTCTATAGTTTCAGCTTATTGGAACCTGATCTAAACTACATTTTATGATTGGATAAATTAAATGTTTTACCAATGTAAAGTATTTAATATTAACCAATCATGATCCATCTAACTAACAACCCACTTATTTGTAAGTGCTGAAGTTACTTGTAATTTCAGCACCAGAGAGATTTGAATTTAACTTAGAAATTAGTTGGACTCTCCCGAGCACTTCAGCAGCCGCAATAAACCAGTATACCCTAGATCTATTGAGCCTAGCAGAGACTAGTTAAACAACCTGAGACTAGATAGTATAAGAGTAAGATTAGGATCGGTATTAGACTAAGAAGTTGCACGAATCTATCCGGCCGAAAATAAGATAGCGTGACGAGCAGACGGTGTACCCTATCCGAAATTACTCTATGAGTTACACTTCGGTCCTAACTCATCTGGTGCGACCATAAGTCTCGAACAAGACCTTACTAGATTAGAATTAACCAAAAATAGATTAGAAATTAGACAAAAACATTTACAAAATGTTATACGACAATAATTTAATTGAAATGTCTCTCCGACTCAATAGATCAGAGCCAATATTCCGAACCATAATAGAACTACCCGGAATTGGAAGAAGACCTCGAACCAAAGACGACATACGACAAAGTAGAAACTTGCCGTATAGTTATATGATAGTTCGGCAAAAGCCAGAACAAACTTTTATATTTCGAATACTACTTGCAATGAATTTAGATTTCCATTTGCAAACATAAAACCTTGAAGTTACTCTTCAAAATCATTTAAGGCGCTAAACAAAATTAATATTATACAATAACGATTGATAAAAAGATCTAAGATCGTTTCCCTAAAACTCTGCAGTATTATACAAAACATGTTTGAAAAATATTTATTGGAAAACAAAAATAAAAATTAGTAGCATGACAATAAATGGTTAGTAATCATAAATCATCCTGTTGTTCCAGCTTCATCATCTAAAACATAACAGCAATCATCAACTCACTAACATCATAAAACACTAAATCTTTCCTTTACACACATTTAAAACTTTATTAAAACTTAAATTCACTTAATTTTAAAACCAGATCATCAAGGCTTATCCTTGGATCTTAAATCATTTTCTACTTAATTAAATTTTAAATTTGATCATCAAGGCTTATCCTTGGATCAAACAGAACAACTTTGTTCTCCCCCACCCACTTAATTAGTGTCTAACGACCTCAAACGTCGATTCACTACCCAACCCTTTCTAAAGACCCAAGACTAATAGAAATTTTTAAAACAAAACTAATCATTCAAATTAGGATAAACAGTGAAGAACTTCGGTTATTCATCCTTCACTTGACCCCCCCTCTTACCAGACCCAGGATAAATCTTAGACTTCGTAAGTTTAAAATAGTATCTAACGAACTACTCGCGTTCTAATTATACCTGAACCTTGTGGATCGATTTACTATTCTCCAACCCTTGAACACAATCACTACCCCTAAGTAAGATTAAGTAAGTTAACACCTTAGCTTATACTAGTCACGAGAAAGTAAAAATCATTCTTCGGAATCGATATACTTTTCTCTCCAACCCTGAACAAATAGACCCAGGTTAAGCTAACCAAAAAATCGTAAGAACTAACAGTTTAAGAAAATAGAAATCATTTAACAACCCTTTGCATCCGTCATTCTAAACCTTATGTCATTTAAAAACCTAGGAAATAAACAAACAATCATTTTACACAATTGTGAAATAGATAACAAAAAATACGACCTTGTAATCACACCTCATACACAAACAGTTGGATACATTCGAACAAAACGACAAACACTAAAAAGAAAAATAATAACGAAACAAAGACAAATAACACGAAAAAGATTTTCAAAAAATCGAAACGCATTTTCAGAATCAGAAACCAACAGTTTAGACGAACTTTACAAACTAAAAGAATCAATAGATAAAAATTGCCCACTTCACGATCAATTATATTTCTCTGACTCAGAAACAACTTCAAATTCATCACAAAGAGGAAAAAGAAGAATAAAAAAGCAGTACAAACACAAACCAGTACATTTATACAATTGGAATCAACCAATTCGACACATTAATAATTACATATTAACAGTAATCGAACGAAAAAATGAGTTCAACGCACACCCCAGGTGAAGAAACTCCAGATGATGATGAAATCTTTCCTTTTATAGTAGACGCAGATACTGATAGAGGACAACACATATTTTGTCAAAATTTACTCGTAAATTTATTTGAACCCGGAATCAGTCCATGTAAAACAGAGTTCCCCGATGAAAAAATCAAAAGACAAATCATAGATCACTACTTAAAAGATATATGCAACATAACACAACAGTATGGAATCTACTCCATAGAATTCACTTCCCCAAACCATAATAATAGAACATATACTATTCAAACAGACGATCTTGATTTAGAATTTTCAAAAGTTTTTTCAGAATATATAAAAAGCATCCAATATCATAACTCACAA